CGGCGGCTCCGCGGGGTCGGGCAGCGGTGGCAAGAAGGGCAGCGACACCGACAGCGAGCACAGCGCCGCGGGCAGCCCGCCCTGCCACTCCCCGGAGCTGCTGCAGGCCCCTGAGCCCGGGCACCGCAACGGCCTGGAGTGACACGCACCCCAGGCCTGCCCCTCTCCGGGACCCCCTCCCCCCACCCCGTCCGCTTGGGCCTTGTGGGTCCTGGCCTCAGCTCCAGCCTCTTTCCACGGCACCCTGCTCACTCTGTCTCTATCTCTGTCCCACTCTCTTTTAACTCCCTCTGTGACATAACTGTTAAGGAAATATGGACATGTAAGTAACAAGCTTGCTTTCCTGGGCCCTAGCTTTCCCTCTACCATCGGGTAACACCGTCGGAGTCCAGGATAGCCCTAGTCGGTGCCTCGCTAGGCCTTTAATTCTGGTCCTGTCCTCCTCATTCTCCCTCCGCCATCCCCAGCTGTGACGGGCATTTCTTTTATAGGGAAACGGCCTCTGAAGGTAGAGCTGGATGAATCCAGTGCCTGGGAGACCGGGGGACTTCGCACGGGCGCGAACAACTCTGCTGAACAAGGTTGAGCTGTACCGTGGGGAGGGCGAAGCAGGAGGCCCGCACGGGACCTTCCTGCCGGGCTAGCCGCCGACTTCGTTCCAGAACAGCAGTCTTGGGCCTCTCGGCTTCGGAGCGCCCTGCGCTGCAGCTGCTCCCCGCTGCCCGCCCGGCGCAGAGCCGTCTAGTGCCCATCTGGCGGCGCCGAGACCCGGAGTTTGCCTAGTTTAGCTCTCCAGTGTCAGCTCTGCCTCTTTTTCTTTGTTCCCTGAGATGGAACCAATGCAAGTTTCAGCTAAGGGTAGTCTTGGCGAATCGCTGCAGCAACCTTCTTTCGTCTTTATAACTTTATTAAAACTATAAAACTAAAGAAAAATTTTAAAACAGCATCTTTCCACTTGGTTTCCCTTCTAGTTTTTCCTCTAGCAGTGAGCAAGTCTTTCGAAACTGTGCTGATACTGATCCCAAAGTTATTTTGATCGCATTAACTTAACTTATGGGGTGGGGGTGGGGTGAGGGTAGGTGTCTTTCTTATGCAAAAATACCCCTTTCCGGTGAGACCAGATTAACTGTCTCTGTGTTTGTCCTTTTCTACCTCGTTTTCACCACTCCGGAGCATAATCTCCCATTCTTTTTTTTTTTTTTTTTTTTTTTTTGCTAGTCCAGCCGTCAATTTGTATAGTACCCATATCTGTAAATTCTTACAATTCGTTGAAGATTCTTAGGGTTAAACTTTTTTTTTTGATTTAAACTTATAAACAAGTGAGAAGCTATCGTTTATTTCAGACAAGGCTGTATGTAGTTTAAAATGCCAAAAGGGAAAATAGGAAAAAAAAACTTTGTAAGATATCTGAACCTAATGGTTTGTACAACTGGAGAATCATTCTAGATTAGTTATCAATTAACTATAACTCCACCAGTGTATGGGTGCGAGGTGCAGTTGTCCAGGAGACGATTTTGTATAGCATTTTTCTTGTACATTACTTCCAGTAAATATTTGAAAATATATTGAAGTAAACTTGATTTTTTTTTTTGTCACAGAAAATATTAAGAGTTATTCTTGCAGTTCTGATGAGCTGCAGGTTTTTTGAACTCAATTCTGGAGGTGCAGAGCCACAAACGCACTTTCGGGGCCTACTTTTGCTCGAATATGAATTTAGATAGGTATCAAACTGTAACTAAGACAATATTTGATAAATGTGGGATGGCATTTAATTTAATGGAGCATGTACTTATTTGCATTTGCTGGCAGTTCAGGTATAGTTAAAGTGAGAGTTCTCCTATATTTCATAACTGGGTCTGCCAAAACCCATGTATTAAATAAATTGTCCAAGTGAAACTCAACTAACTTTGGCCTTTGTGTATTTCCTGAAGGTAATATTGTTAACTGTTAATAAACACTTCTGACACTACATTTAAGTGTTTGCAGATTCTGCAAACTATTTGCTCATTGTAATGTTGAAATAATTGGGATATTTCACATTGAAATGAAAAGCCTTTCTCTGGAACATTTTAGACTTGCATTTTAAATGCATGAAATGTAATTGATTTATTTGTAATATTTTAAATGGTATTAATAAACTCAGATAAAAGACTAGGCCAGTTAATTTGTATTTTTTTCTCTTTTAAACTATGGACATTTGCATTTTATCTTCAGTTAAATGTCTAATTTAAACAAAATATAACCCTGTTTTGTGGTAATATTTAAATAATTGCTTTTAAGATATTACTTAGATGAAATGATATATTTGTCAAAGTTGTGTTTTCTCTATTTACCAAGATAAAGACTATAGTGTCTAAGAAATGTAATTAATTATTTACCAGTAGATTTATCTCAAAGTATCAGGATTTACTGACCTCTTAAAATTTGTACAGAGTCACCAAACAATTCAAAGACATTTCTCTGTTCTACTTCCTTCTCACTTTCCAGAAGGAGTCAGGTTGTTGGCCATTGATTACATTTGGTATTTAAAAGGCCAAGCCTTACACTGAAAGATCAATACATCTAAAATAAAAACATGGGTTTGGGGATAACTTTTGTTGTTAAGGGGTGGAGGAGGTCAAGCTAACAAAATCTTGTTTTTGGCATTCCATGTCTTAGCTAAAGATTATGTAGAGGTAAATATCAGTAGTAGATTCCTGTTGAAATGAGTTATCTGTTCTTTTAAAGTCTCTAAACAGCCACCAAAGAAAAGGAAGGTTAAACCTTAATCTATCTACTAGGCTATTGTTCGTAGGTGTCAATGATGCCAATAAAAAAACTGTCATGTTATGTCTAAGTGCATTTAAGCAATGGGTGTTCCTTGAGCCATACTTTGAAGCATAAAATACTTCAAATGTTAATTGCTGTTATATCAAACTATTTCACTATTAGATTAATACTATTATTTTGAAACAAATTGAATAAAAAGTTAGTGTGTTCAGATTCTTATAAGCTTAGCTTCTTTCTTTCTGTTTTCATTCTCCCCACCCTAAGTGCAGCTTTGGTGTATATCTTGAACTGAAAATTTTCCAGTGAAATTTATATTGAGTATTTATTATTCATAAAAACAGAAGTGAAAATACAGAGTGCTATAAATGTAAATCCAGAAAAAAAAAAAAACCAAGGATAAAATATTTAAGAATAATGCAGTTTGTGCCCAGGTAGCAGAGTGCCTGAATCCTGCTGTCTGCAGATGTTTGAGACCTCCAATCTGGATGGTTTTAGGCAAGCAAGTTAGCTCTGATTCTTTGGTATACTATAGCTCTAAATAATGGTTTTAAAAAGTAAAATAGCCTTTTCTGTCACTTTCTTCCTAGGAATAACACGCAGAACACAGTTTAAGTGTTGTTTCTTTTTTACTGAAAGTTGCAGTACTGAGGGATTCGGAGAGAATGGTTCTGAAGGAGTTAAATGTAGTGGCAGGTAAGAGGAAAGCTGCTTGGTACATTTATAATATCAGTTTCATTACATACAGAATCACATTTGATTTAAGAGATGGGTGATGGCAAGGAGCAATATTGTCTGGAGCAAGATTTCTTTGGGGTAGATGAATGGGAAGAGATTATTCTGTGGTATAGATGTTCGAACTTTCACTTTCTTCCTTTGGCTCCTCCTCCCCATTCTAGCTTTGGTTTGTTTTGTTCTGATGGTTATTGAGCAGTATTTCTAGGTTTATTTTCTGCAAAGTGGGCAGGGTTCCCTTTTGGGGATGAACATCTTTTTGGAGGACAGAGGGTGATGTGCACAATTGTGGTTTCTCCCTCTTCATCTGTACTAAAGCACCTCTTAACAGTGCCTGGAGGCTCACTCAAATGAAGTCAAAGGCTGGGTTTCACTTTGAACCAAGGGACAAGCTTCCAGCCTTGCAGATCAAGGTAGAGTTAAACTAGTTGTTGACCCAGAGGTCAGGCCAGCATATATCAGTCCACCCTCTGGAGACTGGAATAGGGCTGCAGCCCAGTCCAGCTTTTCTGGTGACTTGCCTCATTTCTTCCCCAAACTTGAGTGTTTCTTCCTTATCCTGCTCTCTCCTTTTCTGGCTCAGCTTCTTTTGGATGATCTCTTTTGCTTAGGAACATGATTGTGATTTGTTGAGTTTGGACTATCAACAAAAATATTTTTGCTAGAAACTTCATTTAAGCAAATGTGATGAGTTATTCTTCTGTATCAACTGATATTAGAAAATTCCTGGATCGGTTTGCCCTCCTTCCACTCTCCTCTTACCCCAATCTTGGTATAACTTCTCAACTGGGCTTCCCTTGGGGACAGAATGCTGAAATTAAAAATTAAAGACAAGCAGGTAATGAGACTAGACTCCTGAGCAGGCAGATCGATAAGCCTGCCATTAACATTTTTATCTCCCTGTGGATCTTTTTGTGAGATTATTGAATAGAATGTTACCGAAGGCCTGTGGAGGAATTTTTTAAAATAAATATTTAATTTTAGAGGATTAGCTCAAAGGTCAGATGATCTTTTAGGCTGGTAAATTAGGGCAGGAACTTTACAGGAGGAAAACGTGTAGATCCTCTTATTCTCTGGTTGCCTAAAATAGTAGAGATGAATATAACAAAAGAAATCCTACATTTTGCTCAATTTTTCATACAAATAGCCTTAGAGGAGTTAATTTGATGCAAGTATTTTGAATAAATGTTTTTTTTTAAATTTTCCTGCTGACTTTTGCTGCTTTTGTCCAAACAGGCATTATTATTTCTTCTCCACCCCTAAGAAAAACTCAGGTATGATGTAATCTTTTTCAAAATATGTTTCTGTAGTTGTTTGTTTTTTTCCCTTTTCTTTAAAAAACAGCCCAGCAGGTTAATCCTATCACTGTCTTTAAAGAAAACCGTGTTAAGTAAGGAATCAAAGGGAGTGAAGAGTACTCATTTTAAAGTTAGGACTGTCATTCTGGGTGGCATCTTTTGAAGACTTCTCTCGATAGACAATTGTTGCTGTTGCTTAAAAATTAAGATTCAGAATTTGCTTTCGCCCTATTTATTCCCTGCTTCCGGATTAAAGGAGAGCCGGCAATTCCTTGCTGTCCTGGGCTCCAGTCGCTGCAGTTTAAGGGGATGCGCGTCAGTGGCCATCTCTTTAGGTTCGCTGCATTCCCTGTGCGTAGAAGTGTTGATTTGCTTAGCGGGGCGGGGGTTGGGGGAGGAATCTATTTTCTTTGGTCCCTGAGCGCGTGTTTAATTTAATTTAATTTTCTGCGGAGTCTCCTGGCGGTGAGGAAGCAGCCTTGTACATTTGCTGTGGTTCCTAACGACAGTCAGGGCTTCTGGAGCTCTAGGGACAGGGAGGAGAGCTTGGGGTAACTGGGAACCAGAAATAAAGCGCTCGCCCAAAACTGCCGCTTTTCACTGTTCTTTCAAGTTCATTGGGATTCCTTTTAAGACCACTCCCTAACTTTTTACTTCTCAGGCAAGCACTTCTCGCCGCGCGGGAGGGAATGGAGAAGCCCTCTGCTTCCCTTTTCGGGGATCGTAGCTGAGGTCTGCGCTACTCCAAGTTTTCCTCATTCTCTTATTCAAGAAATTTAAGGGGAGGTTTTGAGCCCAGGAGAATTTCCCAGCCTTTCTAAATGATACCCCCTCTTTCCTCTCCCGACTCCTCGACATGCCGGCTGCTCTCAGAAAGACCCTTGGAGACCGCCGGGAAGAATTCGGAGCTGGCGAGTCGCGTTATCCGCCGTCTGGTTGCAGCAAAGG